TTGGGTAAATTCCTAGCAGTGCTATTGCTGGGTCATAGGGTACTAACCTAGTAAATTTTTAAGTGAATAACCATTTGGTGTTGAGGATATCTGCCTAAGAATAATAACATCATGTTCATGCAATTGAAAAAGATTCTGACCAAGTATAAATAGTAAATACAAACTCTGACAAAGAAGAAAAAGAATTTTAAGAATTTACATATACAAACTGTGAGGGACAAAAAAATTAAAAATCAAAACGTATATGCTTCTTATACTTCATATGGTTGAAGTAGAAATATTAATATTACATTCTAATAGGGAGTGGCTGCAATGCTGTGGCGAAAACATACCCTAGAAAGAATACGCAGGTTATAAAACAGGATGTTAGCACTTTGTGGACAGAAAGGTTTTTTTCTTACCTATTCAGTGCAAATGCATAATGAAACTTCACATGGTGATGGGAAGCCAAATCAAAGGTTGGCAGCTTTTCTAACGTCTCTACCAGCTTCACAATAGAATCATAGTCCTTTAAACAAGAGGAGAGTAACACAGAATTAAACTATTAGGAGAAAGTTCTGACAATGAAATGCTTTTTGACAATCAGATATGTGAATCCGAGAAGGGTGTTAAAAAGAAAACTAAAATCCAGAGGAATCTGGAATCAAGAACCAAAAAGAATCTAGAACCATAAAGAAACTTTTTTTTTCTTAAATAAGAAATTTGATTATATAGATAAAAACATTAAAATACAGTTACCACATCTGACGCCCCCCCCAAACAATAAATCATCTAGAATGACAATACTATACTGTCTAACTATGGATGGCTTACTTCTCCATGGAGCCAGATTCCTGGTATACAGTGTCTCATCAATTACTTTCAAAGAAATAATTTTTTTTTTTTTTAGAAATAATTTTCAAAACATCCAGGACATGGAGCAACTGACTGAGCTTCTGTCACATGTAACAAGATGATATTGTGTCAAGCTATCCTAGTCTTGGGACCCTAAGTACCACACCTCTACATGTATGTGAATCTCTGTTGTCTTCATGAAGCTTTACTTGGGCCTGAAAGCCTAGGAATAAGAAACCAGAAGTCACTTGCATTTTACTATAAAAATCTAATAGCAAATCCCCAACTCAGAGAGGATTTCATTCTATGTACCATATTAAAAAATTGTAAGATATATCAATAACACTAAATGGTATGTTGGTGTGTTTTACATGATATATTTTAAAGGTTATTTTAATAATTAATCAGTTACATATGTCTTGCTTCCAGCTAGTCAGATCTAGCACCATTAATTTTAAGCACATGATTTCAAGGAGTAAGAGATATCACCAGAAAGCCCCCCACATTTCTGCTTTTGCTAACACAAAGTTTTCACAATATTGGCTGATGGGTGTGTCTGAATAGATTGTCCACAGATTAGCTATGCACGCAAACTTTTCTTTTTGTTCTTCTGGAGGAAAAAGACCTTTACCATACAAGTACCTCATAACACATCCCACAGATAGGAAACTCATAGGAGTTTTTTTTTACTTATCATAGATTCTCAGGATGGAAGCTTAGAAAAGTCAACAAAAAATTACATGTAGTGACATGAATAACCTCTCAGCTCACTGAAATACAATGTTAACTCTCCCTTATTCCTCCAACAGGCTACATGATGAAGATTTTACTTTAAGCATCTTCTCACCTGGATATCTCTGTAGGAAAGTAACAGGTTTATGACAATATCTGCTGTCAAGACTTCAATATTATCTACTCGCTGCCGAATTCTTGCCAATTCAGCTGCCAATTCTTTACCAGTGTATAAATTACGAGCTTTCCTGATATCATTGAGTATAGATTCCCGGAAATACTGGCTGGTGGGAAAACACACATTTCAAAGAGTTAATACTAGAAAGGATTTCAATTAAAAGCAATGATTGTATAAGGAAACAAAATTTGCAGCACTGGTAGCTTTTAGTTCACAAGGTGCGCAGAATGAACACCTCAGAGATTGCGCATTATTAAGAAATTTGGGAGTCCTTTATTCCTTTTAGCTTTGCTTCAGAAAAAATTAGGTAAAGATACTGCATTTTAACGAATTTTCCAAGAACCTGACATGTACCTCTAGAAATGCCAAAACGTTTTCATTTTACCGTTTGGAATAGGAATTGTTCCAAATAAGTCAGGTGTGCCTAAGATTTGGTCATAATACAGCGTTTACTTTCTGACTCAGCATCATCATTTATTAACATAAGTGATTGTTCTTAGCTAAAATATAATAATGCTGCCAGCAATTTTGGCAGAGTTCTTGCTCTTATACGAAAAGTTCCCGGGACGTTTATTCTGATACTGTTTCTATACTTACTTTGAATATATATCTCTACCATTACTATAATGTAGTTAGCAGTCTTTTTTTCTTCCTTTCTGATCTCAAGTTGTTCTCTGAATAAAGTGAACTATGTGGCATCTATTTTTATCTACTTGGAGGATACCATACTTTTATGTTCCTGGTTCTTGGCTGTGTGCCATCTCTAAGAAACCTCTGATAAGATGCACAGCACTCCATTATCATCATCAGGTGGCATTATTCCACCTTACCTGGAACTTGCTTGTGCCACCTTCAGAAGTTGAATGAAACGGTCCACAAGAGGTAAGCAAATGGGTCCAAGAAGCAGCTCGAAGTTCGGTTGCATGAGCTCTGTCAACCCCTTCATGAAGCTGCTATCGCAGCAGTAGACTTTATTATGTGGAGTGATCATGTAAGGAACGAATGTGTAGTTCCCAGTGCACATCTGTGGAAAGAGGAGAGGCCGGGAGGTGGTGAGGTGGCCTGGAGACCCCACACTCATGAAATCCCAAGTGCAGTGAGTCATTTTCAACAGTAATCCTGAATATGAAGCGAAATAGCAAACCTCATTTCTTATTTATGACCTATGAAAACGGAAATTCCCTCCAATTTCTTTAATTGCTTACTTTAAATAATTAGGGCTTACAGATGATGCAAAAAAAAAAAAAACACCTCATAAAAAAACAGTATGGCACAGCTTCCATCCATCAGTTAAATATTTATTCACCATGTCTCATGGCTAAGGCATTTGTGATATATGCTGCAGGAAAAATAGAGTAGTTTAAAACACAGCCTTCAGCCTCTGGGGAGCTTAAAATTTAATCACAGAGACATAGTGTAAATACACGACAGGAATAAGAACTAACGTTAAGGGCTGCCCACCTGACAGGCTAGGCTGTTGAGTGATGTCAGAACAAAGCTGCTCCCTCCAGTCTGCTCGGTCACAGTCATGGCTCCGTTAGCCTCTCTGTTACTACAACTAGAGACCCAGAAGTTTTCCTTGACGCTTCCATTTCCTTCACCACCCATATCCTATCAAAGTCCCGTCTACTCTGCCTCCAGAATGGATCTCATATTTTTCCATTTCCCTCCATCTTCTCTGCCTGCATGGCAGGCCATGCGACCAACATACCTGGCCTGAGCCATTGTCACTGGCTTTTAGGTAGTCTCCCTGCTTTCACTCTTGTCCTCCAATCTATTGTCTACCCAGCCATCAAAGTGATCCTTTAACAACCTGTATCAGATCACTTCCCTCACTTCGAAAGGCAGTGGGATGAGGATAAGGCATGTCCTTGTGGCCTACAGGGGCCTGATGATACAAATCCTGCTTCTCTCTCTGGCCTCAGCCCGTGCCACTCTCCACTCACTCATCCCGACCTTCTACTGATTCCCAATGATGTCAAGTGAGGGAACACTAGCACGAACAAAAGTAGAGCTAAAGGAGAAAGAAGAAATTGGACTGGACACCCCTCAGGAAGCAAGTCTGACCAGATCTTAGAGCTCAGAGAAGGGAGAGAATGCAGAGCTAAGGGTTTTAAACTGTATGTGCTGGGCTGTGGGAATCATGGACAGATTCAGGGCAAGAAAGAAAACATAATCACAGTCTTAAATGGGGTTACCTAAAAAGAGTGGTATCATTAACAACAACATCAATCAGACTGAATTATTTACGAATATATTATAGTCAGGGGTACTTGTTATAGATCAGGTAATAAATCACAAACAGAACCTGACTTCCAGGTAATATGTGAGAGGAACTTCAAGAGTTTGGTATCTGATTTGGGGTGGGAAGGGTGAAATGTTCACTATTAGGAAGGCTATGATTTCAGGGGAGCTGAACCCCTAAAGTGAGAATGTCCAGAAGATAGTTGGAAATACATGATTGGAATGTCAAAGAGTTTCCAACAAAAGTACAGACCTGAGAAGTATTTGGTGTGTATTTGGTGAATCTAAGGCAACATGAGAGACCTCTAAGAGAAAAGCCACAGACAGAGAAAAAGAAAAAGGCAGAGAAAAGAGAAGTAGAATGAGCTATGTGGGAAACCCCATCACCGTTCTAGGGAGCACAGAGAGCCCAGATTGCCAGATCCTAGCCATTTCAGTATTACGGGGAACAACACATCACTTCTCTTACCCTTACAACTAAACAAACGAGAGCAAACAATGACTCACCACTTGCACATGCCAAGGGAGGTCATACACGCTCCCAACAACCCACTGAAGAAGGTGCTATCATCCCTGTTTTATAGGAGGATTCAGATTAGGCTTATGGAGGTCATGCAGCTGGTCTGTGATGTGTTTGGGACTCTAGCCTAGAGACTTCTCTGGAGGTTATGCCATAATCGTTAGAGGGTTCTGCATCCTCCTGAGTGGCCCCTGCATGCTGACGCACCAACGCTTTGCCTCAGGTCACTTTCATGGAACCCTGAATGAGCCAAGCCATAGCTTCACAGCAAACAGACGAGAAGTGACAAATGCTCTTCCAGCCAGACTGAATTATTTATGAACATATTCTTTGAGGCACCTGTTGTATGTCTGGTAGTGTTGAGCTGAAACAGGACCTGACTTCCAGTTAAAGTATGAGAAGAACTTCCAGAGGTTGAGATTTGATTTTTAAATTAAGTACATTAAATTGTTCCTTTCTTAAGTTCTCCTTCATGGAACAATAATTTGGAAGACTAGTCAGGAAGAAGAAACCTCTGATAAGATGCACAGCACTCCATTATCATCATCTGACTTCGGCTCAGGTCATGATCTCCTGATTTGTGGGTTCGAGCCCCATGTCGGGCTCTGTGCTGAAAGCTCGGAGCCCGGAGCCTGCTTTGGAATCTGCGTCTCCCTATCTCTCTGCCCCTCCCTTGCTCATGCTTTGTCTCAAAAATAAATAAAACATTAAAAAAATTCTTTAAATGTTTCTGAGATCCTATAGCATATCCACCAACGTAATCCTTTTCATCAGATCCACTGCTTAAGCAGAAAAGAAAGGCTAGTGTACCAAGAGGTTGCTCCCCAAGGTTTCTAGAGCTGTAACTATGAGTGGGTTATAAAAAAGCAACAGAATCAAATATTCCTGTTTTAGATAAGTTCTATAACTCAAAATTTAAAAAGAAATGCTTTGAATCTTCCAAGTCAAAAAGTAGAATAGATGAAAAGCCAGTAAGCCAGAAAAACACTATTAGCATTTCAAAATATTCTGCTGCTGCTGCTGCACCAAGTTCTGTATCCTCAGAAGCCTTAATACCACGTGTATTTGTGTACAAGACATGAAACAGCATACAGAACTATTGAAATACTGGGCACTGGGGAATAAAGCGTCTGCGTAAAACAATCCTGGGAGAGGACGACTCTCAGACATCTGGGTGTGCATCACCGCTGCAGGGGTGAAGAAAGTAAAATGAGAGTCTTGCAAACAGCAGAGAAAAATGTACTCCTGCAACTGTCTTCTTCAAACCCCGTGGAATAAGGCTTCAGAATCCTTGTTGAAAATAACCAGCATGCCAAGGTTTTCTTAAGCTCCTGGCCTCGCTGCACTTTCTGGAGTCTCTTCCCTATGTTTCTAAGGCAATAAATACATATTTTTTTTCATTCCCCCTTGTTGGTGTCCAAACAAAGTGGAGGGTGAGAAGCTGCAGGAGGCACATAGATGCTACCAGGCCTGAACTAAGACACAGCGCAGTGAGCCTGCAGTGGGGGCAAAGTGTGAGGTTTGGTTTTAACACTGTTTCTCTAAAAGATACCAACTGCACGGG